CACAAAAAAAGACAAATCAAAACGGGATTACTGATAAAATGACCAACGAAGGTGTATCATGGAAGCACATGTCACCTAATTCTCCTCATTTCGGAGGCATTTGGGTCATGCAAGATCTTAATGAAGAATCTTAACCTTCGAAGACTTTTGTATGATTCTGACACAGATCGAAGCAATGTTTGAACTCAAGACCAATTTCTCTTTTAAGCTCGTATCCTAACGATTTAATGAAGAATATTAATTATTTTGAAATTTATATTTCAAGGCCGGGAGTATGTTCGCGCCATATCAAAGGGTGCGATATATATTGATATAAAACAAAAAATCATCAATCGATATGCATACAAATAAATCAAGTCAATCAATACGTTATCAAAACCAATATTAAAATTATTGTAAAAACACTTATAACTTGTAATAAACATAAAATAAATATATACAGTTATAATTAAAGTATTTTGCAATTGGTCCTTCAAATTCAATCAAACATTGGGACCAAACATTGGGACCAATTTTTCAATGGTTGTTGTGATTGATTGCTTTTTGAAGTACCATATGTAAAATAATTCAATTATAACTGTATATATTTATTTTATGTTAATTACAAGTTATAAGTGTATTTACAATAATTTTAATATGTTGTTTTTGATTGATAACGTATTAATTGACTTGATTTATTGTGTGATTTTCGATTGATGATTTTTTGTTTATATCAATATAACTCACACCCTTTGATATGGCGCGAACATACTTGATGATGAAGAAGAAATTGATAATTTATTTGATAACGAATTAGAAGTTTTTTGATAAATACGCGAACCATACGACGATAAACAATACTTTACTGAAAAGGAAAAACAACGCAAAGAGCATTCTATTACTAATTACGACGGAAGTTTTGGTACTATAATTCAATTTGCAAAAATATCAAAGACTTAGAATATAGTAGACAAGTAACATTAAAACGTCATATTTCACTTGCAAACAGAAACCAATTCACCGAATATGTTAAAATTTACCTCATCAAGACGTGTTAAAGTCAATCAATTTAACTAATTTCGCGTAATTTTGGAAACGCCTTACAAGTCCGATACAAGTCTGCTGTTGTCTGAGCTACAACTTGTTAGACCGATTATCCGAAAAAAATCTGTTTTATTATAACAAATTTTAAAATTCATACTAACGGTCGATATAAAGAGAGTGATCGAACAGGTTTTAGTTCAGATAAACGACAGAAAGATGCACTAAACAATTCGGGGTAAAACTTCCAATAACAAAATAAACATAAATCAATAACATACGTTCTTATCAATACGATGTTCAGAACAATCACCTAAACAAAGCATAACTGAACATCTTAAAATATTCGAAAACCCCAGAAATTATTTTAACGTTTATAGTTCATTAACTACAGCTGATACAATAATGAAATTATTTATTAACAACAATCTCACTAACATTTTAACGCAAGCTAAACTCAATCTTTATGAATTGAATTCTAACCATTAAAAACTTTTCATTCCAACTCCAAATCGTCTAAGCACGAAATTACATGTCTATACATATAGCGCGCGAATGAATGTGTTTATCACTTCAAATTCTAGCTATAAAATAAAATTAATAGTGGAAAAATCTAGAATAGCACTATCAAAATATATCGCCCTTTATACCTCAAACTAAGTGAGGCAATATTATTAAAAATTCTTGCGCAAAATATGAAACGGGCGTTGAATATCGCGTTTGATAAAAAATTATGTTGGAGCGATCTTACTATCACTCATATCTGATTAAAATCTATATTTTTATAAATACAAAAATCCTTTTGCGAATATAATTCATTTTATTCAAAACAAATCATGACAATCAAGCAAGACATGCTTAACTTATCGAACCAAAAATTTTACCTATCACAAATGTCACCCCATGTGGAATATAGAGTCAGTTGCAGACTTATCTCGTCTGCAGATACACACCACCATAATCAGTTCAAGGAGAGAGTGTTACAGTGCTCCAATAAGACAATTTAGAAGCAGAAAGTATTGAACTGATTATTACTGATTAGTCTGAAAACACTCAAAAAAAAACTATAAACTATGATTTCCAATAACAATCAAGAAATGCAGTTCATGAAATTTTTGTCATACCAAAACCATTAACATCTACTTAATTCACATTAATGAAGAATACCAATTATTTTGAAATATATATTTCAAGGCCGGGAGTATGTTCGCGCCAATCAAAGCATGCGGTTATATTGATATATAAACAAAAAATCATCGATCGAAAATCACACAAGAAATCAAATCAATCAATACGTTATCAAAAACAACATATTAAAATTATTGCAAATACACTCATAACTTGTAGTTAACATAAATAAATATATACAGTCATAATTAAAGTATTTTACAATTAGTCCTTCAAAATTCAATCAAACAACCAATGTTTTTTCGATTGTTTTTTATCAAAGGGTGCGATATATATTGATATAAAACAAAAAATCACCATTCAATAATCATACAAATAAATCAAGTCAATCAATACGTTATCAAAACCAATATTGAACTTATTATAAATACGAATATAATTTGTAATCAACAGAAAATAAATACATAAATTTATGAATTAAAGTGTTTATAACAAATTTCGTCCTTCAAAATTCAATCAAAACAATCAGTAAAAAAACATTTGATTGAATTTTGAAGGAAGGTTTAATTTAAAAAACTTAAATATTTTCATTACAGCAAAGCCATATATTAAAACATCGAATTTACATGTTATATAAAAATAGCAATATAAAAATATATAGTTATATAAAAATGTTATGAAAAATAAAAATAATTTTTCAGGTTTAGTTTAAAAAAAATATTACAAGACAAATGCTATGAGAATTTTATGAAAAAATATTAACCATTGAAAACTATAATAAATGTAACTGATTTTCTAAAATTAAACGATTTGGCGTATGTTGCAAGTTTCTTTTAATATGTACCCGTACATCTGCAATATTATAAAAGCAGTAGCCTAACAATAAGCGATTTTCATAGTATTAGTTGATCCTTTCTGACGTCAGACCTAGGTTTTAGGTACCTGCGTACGTTCGTTTTCGACAACGAACGAATTTCTATATCGTTGAATAACTAACTGGCCGCCATGTTTTCAACTACTTTGAAACCAGTTGATTTTTGAAAAAGAAACGGTTTAATAACCGTTCGTTGATTCAACACCCATCACTAGTCAGAACCGTATAAAAATCTTCAAAGGTTAAATTGGCGTTTCCTAATATTCGTTTTAGGTGAGCCTTGCATGACTTTATGGCTGCTTCCCAAATTCCTCCGAAATGAGGAGAATTCGGTGGAATGTGCTGCCATGACACACCTTCGTTGATCATTTTATCAGTAATCTCGTTTTGATTTGACTTTTTTTGTAAAAATTTATACAGTTCCTTTAATCCAGAAGCTGCGCCGAGGTTTTGTCACGTCGTACCATAAATCGTTTTAATGTTGCTATAAAACTATTCGTCGTTAAATCAGATACTAATTCAATGTGAATTGCTTCCGTAACAAAGCATACAAATAAGCATATATAAGCCTTTAATTTTTTGTACCCTCTTGTTTGACGATCTCTTATTAAGACAGGACCTCCGTAATCTACTCCGCATATAAAAAGGTAATTGCCGCGTTACACGACTTTTAGGTAAATTACCGATGGATGGATCAATGCGGGTTTTACTTTAAAGCATGTTACACATTTTTTTACGATTGATCTTGTTAAGTTTCTACCTCCGATAGGCCAATAGGTATTACGCAACGTATTTAATAGCATTTGTGCTCCGCAGTGATACAATTTTAAATGCTCATGTCTAGCTATCAGAACTGTTAATAGATGATTCTTTGGTAGTATTATTGGATGGCATTTATCATATGCTATATTATAATTTTTTATCCGCACCCCAACGCGTAAAATTCCATTTCTATCTAAGAATGGAGTTAGTGATTTTAGTTTTGAAGATTTGTTTAATGCTCCCTTACTCTATGTCATGCTCGAATGTATCATGTTGTGATAATTTTATTAAGTTCTTTAATGAATCATTGAATTCGTTAATGGTAAGTGGACCATGTAATCTTTCGTTCTTAATTAATTTAGAATTCTGATAAAATCGAACGAAAAATTAATTTTCGTGCAAATCAAATTTGTAATTCTGATTTCTATATCAGTCTCTGGAATCGTAAGATTGTTAGTTGTGCGTTGCTGTGTTTCAGTTAAATTTTGTAACCAAGATGGACCTTGCCACCATAAAAATGATTTTAATAAATCATGTGTGAAGCACCCGCGTGAAATGAGATCCGCTGGATTATCTTGCGATCGGACATGAAACCAATTGTTGGCGTCGGTATTTGTTTGAATATCAGAAACTCTATTGGCAACAAAAGTTTTCCATTTGTAAGACGGAGATTTTATCCACGAAAAGGTTATTGTGGAATCGCTCCAATAAAATCTTTATCTAACGCGATATTTAATGCCCGTCTTGTTTTTTGCGTAAGATTCGCTAATAATTGGCCGCACAAAGTTCGAGACGCGGGAGTGTGATATTTTTTAATGGCGCTACTCGAGATCTTGACGCTATTAGTTTCATTTTAATATCAGAATTGGTATCGATAGATCGTACATATATACATGCACCGTAAGCTTGTTCGGATGCGTCAGCAAAACCATGTAATTTGGTGGTTAGACGATTTTCACAAAATGTTTTACAATAAATTTTTTGTAAACAGAAATTCAAGACGATTTCTTTATTTAGCGGGAATCGGCACGACGGCGTGAATGTGAAATTGTGGTTGAGCAAAATAGATGCGATTGGTGAGAGGTATATAGTGCCAATAGAAAAGGTTTACTATTTGGTTGGTGTCGCAGTTTGATTGTCATAATGACGAGCAACAGCATGGTTTCTCTCTGCACCAAGTAATGTGAGATTGGCATACGATGAGCTGAAAAGCATGATGTGCGAACTAATAGAGTACTATAGAGTACGCACTAAGGCTGAAGTATTAGAGGCAATTCGTAAGGAAGATGAAGCTAAGACTGTTGTGTGGGAGACAATGCGCAAGGAAAAAGAAGATAAAGCCGCTATAGTGCAGTAAACGGAGCGTTTTAGGTCTGATTTTTTTTACTGTGCTCCGAATTGAATGAAATTTTGAAATTAGGTTCATCTTACCCTCAAGTTCAAAAGTGAAAACAATTCGGGTTGCGCCATCACCCCCCGGGGGGATGTCGCCCCTTCTCAATTGTGTAATTACATTTTTTCAAAATAACGTCGGAAATCGATGGAAGAACTAATTATAAGAAAAAAATGTCTTCTATAGTTTTTCAAAAAAACTAATACTTTTCAAGTTATTGGCCACTAAAGATTCATATATTTTTCGCGTTTTTCTTCGTTTTTTTGCAAATATCTCCTAAAATATACATTTTAACGAAAATGGTGTAACGAGCAAAATAATGTCAATAAAAATCTTAATAAATCGGTATTACATAAAGTGTTCTAGGAAAAATATTAAGCAAGATTTGAAAGAGCAAAGTCGTTTTTTATTTCGTTCAAGATTTAATTGTTGTATTTAAAGCCATCTAGTGTCGAGGTTTTACATTTTATGCATTTCGGTGAAATTGGGTTTTATAGTGCTCAACATAAGCTTTAAAATGAGTGCTGTTAAATATTTTTGCGTGTAAAATGAGTGAGCTATCATGCAAATAAGAAGCATATACGAAGTTTTTTTCTTTTAAATCATATGGTTTAATGAGCGCCATTTCCACCAGAATTAAAGTAATTCACATTCCATCTAGAACACTTCATTATAGACATCTTGATGGATTCTAGTAGATTCACTACCTTAGTACAAACTATTTCAGAAAACTCACGATTTTATAAAAACTTTTTTTCCACATGATATACAACAAGATGAAGAAAAAATTGAAAACTGTGGATAATGCAGAATTGCATAGTAGTTACATAGAAAAAATAATTATAATTGTTTTTACTATTCGCTGAGAAAATAATAGTTGTCATTTGGATAGTCATGGATAGCCATAATAATTATATTTTAACAACAGAGTATATTTTTTGTAATATACTTCTAATACTTAATATATTTTTAATACTTATATACTTGCGATGAATAGCTATGAAATGTATTCTGACATATATTTTTTCGATTTTTTATTTATTGATAACTATATAAAATACAATAACATTGCAAAAAATCAAAAAAGGTAATGAATTAAAATTAAAATACTTTTTATTGCCGACGTAAATATATGAAAAATTTGTAGTTTTTCATACATTGAAATATATTAGTCAGAAGCTTATACGGCGAATGAAAATAATCAATAATAATAATGATTGTTTTATTCGGCGTGTTGGATTTTTTATTATGACTAATGAATATTCTCATATACAAGATATAAATAAATTTTGGTTTTTGATAAATATTTCCATATATGTAGTACAGAATTTGTCGAGGCGCGCGATAACGACGAGCCTTATGCTTGCTCGTCGCTCTTGCAATACAAAGCGACTTTATATGGGTGTTCTTGTACCGGCAGCGCATGTGCTAGCTTAAGTTTTTCCAACTTTTCACCCAAAGTTCCACTTACATTTAAATGAATTTTTGAATAACAGAAGAAAAATGTACAGGCTTTTGAATGATGCTAATATAAAAGTAGTCCAAAGAGCCGCACTGGTAGAAAATGGTAAATGAAAAATCATTTTCACCTTTACACGCACTAACAAATAATTTTTTCACATTATTTGTTATGAACAACATAGACAAGATCAGTATAAATAGAATGACGTTAACATTTTTTCGATATCTCTCATATTTCCGACAAAAAGTGAGTTTGAAAAATGGGGCCGCTTTCACATGTTTTCACGGATAGCTCGGCCAAATTATGAGCTGCGGATTTGAAATTTGGTATTTCGAATTTTCTCGAAAATACCTATAAAATGGCATAAAAATCATTTAAATACCAGGGTGGGGCCAATTCTGTATGGAAACACGCCCAGACAAGTTACAACGTTACAAGTTTTTTGCGTGTAAAATGAGTGAGCTATCATGCAAATAAGAAGCATATACGATATTTTTTTCTCTTAAATCATATGGTTTAATGAACGCCATTTCCACCAGAATTAAAGAAATTCACATTCCATCTAGAATTCACTTCATCATAAACATCTTGATGGATTCTAGCAGATTCACTACTTTAGTACATACTATTTTCAGAAAACTCACGATTTTATAAAAACTTTTTTTGAAAAATATATGAATCTTTAGTGGCCAATAACTTAAAAAGTATTAGTTTTTTTGAAAAACTATAGAAGACGTTATTTTCTTATAATTAGTTCTTCTATCGATTGCCGACGTTATTTTGAAAAAAATTAATTACACAATTGAGAAGGGGTGTCATTTCCCAGGGGGGTGATGGCGCAACCCGAATTGTTTTCACTTTTGAACTTGAGGGTAAGATGAACCTAATTCCAAAATTTCATTCAAGTCGGAGCACAGTAAAAAAATTCAGAGCTTATACCCTTTTTTCCTCTCCGTTTACTGCACTACTATAGAAAAACTGCAGTTGATGCAAGTCCGTTGAAGGCGAGTACATTGAAGACATGGAATTTTTTAATAGTGTGGATTATAGTGCAGGTATGCAATTACATAAAGTTCGGTGTGAGGAAGATTTAAAAGCAGAACAGCTTACGGAACCAGATCAAGAGATCCGGATCAAGTGTTGCCAACTCCACCATAGAACAAGGATTCACTATATGTTAGAAACCGCTAGTTACGCCGTTCACATTTACGTTGGCGCATATTTGAAATGCATCATTGCGGAATATTCAGTAACTACTAACCATAGATAAATAAGCATCTAATAAGCTGCTGACAATAAGATCCAATATCAAGTAACTTTACGCGGTATAAACTATTTGTTAAACAATTAATTATTATTAATTACTTAGCAGTTGAATATTCCTTTTTATTCTTTATCGAATTGTTATTTATTGCATATTATCATTTGTCAATATATGCGGGCAGCCGGGTCGCAAAAATATCTGCTGCGGGCCGCGAGTTTGACACCCATGTTCTAGGTTGTACACCATTAGCATGTACAGGAGTCGTGTAGCAGATCAATACTCAATACGATTTAGGTTGGATTTATTATGACCATTTGCTTCTATTGCCTGAATTTATACCATTGATATTTGCCACACAGAAGGAGCAATTGTCGTGCTGATTCTGAGTTTCTTTTTCCTTCTAGATAATAACTAATAAGCAACTTTTTTTCATAGTACGAAGAATCCCATCCCATTATCTTGATTGCGCAATTCAGTAAAGTGATTAAGATACGATGCTTTTACGCAGTTTTATGACATAGGTTTTCGGTATTTGTCGAAAACACAATAACCTCAGATATAACAAAAATTATCTGGATTATGCACACATATGCATTCAACTGTCCTGCGCAATTATAAACAAAAAAAGTTTTAATTGCGACAGCAACAGTGAGTTTGTTATAAAATTTATTTAGTTCATAAACAATACATTACAAAAACACCTTGTTTATTATCAATGACCCAGATATTATAGTATATAATAGTCGAACAGTTCTTGTAAAAGAACTGACTGACTGAATAGTGACTCTAGTTTATTAGACAGTGAATGTCATATTGTTAGTGTTGTCCAATAAAGTGGTTATAATTACGGGAGAGCTTGTATTTATTTACACCTAGTCTTCCAGCTAATACCTCTAGGAAAACCACCCCCGTTCCGAGGAGACTTATTAAACCAGTACCCTGCTTATCATATATCTGTGGACGAGTTGATCTTGGGTTGCTAGGCTTACCCCTACATAGCTAGAAGGACCCAGAAGCAACCAAGACAACAACCACGCCGTCACATTTCAGCATATATAGGTGTTACAGTTGATGCATACCGAAAACAGCTGACAAACTCTTAGTTATTTGTTAAACAGCGATAATCATAGCCTAAATGATTAATTGGGGTAGTTCACTAACATTATCTTAAAATATATTGTTGCGTCTGTCCGTTCAGTATTGCAACTGGGCCGAAAGCACTCTTGTAGTGAAGGGGTTAATGTAATATATATTTTTCTTATTTCTTAGAAATCTGAGATAGTCCTCAGATACATTCTAAAATTATTTATTCGGATTCCATTAGATTCTATTTATGAATGTTAATTTTTGTTGTAAACATACATCACTTGTTTATATATTAAAAAGTACTTAATATGAATGAAAATGTTTGCAATTATTTATATTAATCATTGATCTTTTTTTTTATTCATTATTGATTATTTTGAATCTTCTAATGTAGAATTACAGTACAGAAAGTCCCAGCATTTTGCCTTGGGATGCAATATCATGCACCATTTTTTTTTTGTTATCGGCATTTTGTGGTTTCGATGAGTTATTTTATTTTTATGAACTTTTGTTGAAGGTTTTTGAATCATTTTTGCAGGGTCGTTGGTTATTCATTGATGATGGACCATATCATGAATCACTTGAGCATTTAGTGGAGCATTACTCGTTGATGTCTGACGGTTTACCCAATATGTTGCAAGTTGCGGTTTCACCAAAACCGAAACCACCTTTACCAGAAGTAAATTCAACTAAATCTATCTATCTATATATATATATATATATATATATATATATATATATATATAGGTATATCTCGATTTAAATTATTTTATAGTTTTCAACTATACCGAGAATGAAAAGCAGTTCAGTAAAAAATATTTTTCCAAATAAGAGTAATATGGAATCTCTATCGAAATCAGCAAATGTTTCTTTAATGAATAATGAAACAATTAGTTTACAAAGTTGCACCATGACAAACGACCAGGACTCTTTCTACACAATACCTTTGAATAACGCGGCAGTTCAAATAGATAATCATTTAAATATGTCAACAACTTATAATGACATTGAAAATGATGTAAATAAAAATATAATTAGGTTTGTATATTTTATTACTTACATCATAGTCTTACATAATCCATTTAGTAAATATATGCATATGTAATAATACATACATTTTTAATCAATAATTTAGTATAGTTGTTTTTATAATTATACATTCCAGAGATGAAAGCAAACAAAATAACTCTTTTTGTAAGGAAATTCAAAACGATTTGTCCATCCAAAGGAACTCTGATATTTCTAAAGAGTCTTTAGTACTAGGTTCTGTACTTGGCGAGGGTGAATTTGGGGAAGTTTATAAGGGAATTTATGTCATTAATAAAACGTGTCAGATAGACGTTGCCATCAAAACGTTACGCGAAGAACATGTTGAAGCTAATAAAGAAGATTTTTTGAGAGAGGCCAAATTAATGATGAGCTTAGATCATCATTGTATAGTACGTCTAATAGGTGTTTCTCAGGTAAATAATTATTACAATTGCGATATATAAATAATTATAATTCATACATTGTGATATATAAATAGTCATAAATCATACATTATATTCTAAAACAGTGGAAAAATAAAAGCATTCTTAATAATTTTATGACAAACTACTACATCTGTCATTTATTTGATTGTTTGATATTAGTAAAGGCAAGTATATCAAATTTTAGCACTTAAAACTATTTAGTTAACTTTAATTTCTCTTGGTTTGAAAACTATTTTTTTTTCATATGCTTCATTGTACAAAACCTTAATTTAAGTTATAATTAAACTCCTTTTTTAATAATTTACCTTGAGTTATTACAGTCCTCATCAATATTCTTTATTAAATTGTACTTTATAAATTTGAAAGTTTTTTTACATCCAACTGCTGCCTCATTTTACACACCTTGAATTAATATACTCGTAATAGTTATCTCGTTTACCATTTTGTTTTATTAGAATTAAATTTTATCTTAACTGACTAAAATTATTAATTCTTATTGTATTTTTTTAATAATATATTGAGGGATTATTTTGTAATACTGATTATTTAGAATTACAAATTTCAATTACTAGTTGAATTGCTCTGACAAACCTTGAGTTTATTTTTGTGGGATACCAACGTCGGTATTGTGGTAAAAAAAAATTGGAGGTGGTTTTATTATTGCATTTTAAAAAATTGTTTTTTCTGTATTATGATTGTGTTTAATGTTAAAACAAAACACTATTTTTATTTGATTATTTTTATAGGGACCACCATTGCTAATGATTCAAGAATTAGTTTCATTAGGATCTATGCTGAATTATCTTCTCGAGTTTCCAGAAAGAGTGAATCCTAAGTGTGAATTGAAAATATGGGCCGCGCAAATTGCTTGTGGTAAGAATTCATGTTCAATACTAATATTCACTATGTATTTATTATTGAATCACTTACATACTAGTAAAATCAATTTGTAATTTATTCTGTTTTCTTATAATTATATAAGCACATTACGTAATATCTATCATCTCTCAGTATTTGAAAAATTTTTCATTTTGCTTCTAGTCAGTAAATGTTTCTTTAAATTTCAGCTCAAATTTTTTCGAGCTCATGGAAAAGCTTAAATCTTAGTTCAAAAAACAATTCATTTTTATCGGGGTTTGTCCAACCCTAATATTTAATTTTAATTTTTAAGATCAAATTTTTTTGTGTTAACTTTTTTATTGCGGAATTGAAAAATACATTCAATTTTATATTTTCATCATCCTGCCTCATATTCATATTTTAGTATAATCACTTTAGTAGTCCAATAATTTTTCATCAAGTTCGATAACTGATCAATTATCGTCCTTTTAGTGAACGTTTTTCGCTGAATTTTGATTAAGATTTTTCTGAACTTGAAAACATTTGCTGAAATATTTCTAAATAATTCTTGGATATTGGCGACGGAAAGGTTGCTGTCGATAAAATTAGATGCATCAAATTAGCGATCGATTTTTGCATAATCACTAATTCTCAGAATTATTCTATTTTTGAAATATTTCCTAATGTGCATAAGCAGTATACAGTTCATGAATAGCTTGCAGAAAAAGAAATTTTGGCCAAATAGATAAATATAATATAAAGACAAATAGATATAGAAATTGAATATTAAAATTTGAATATACAATAGTTTTGAGCAGAGCAAACTTACAAACATTTCTGCGGAGTTTTTAAAACCTCATGTTGCATGACACAACATAATTGAATAAATTGAAAAATTGAATATTTGGATTTTGCTTTGAAATGGAAAAATTAATAAATTAATGAAAAGCGCGGGAATAATATATCAAAACGATGAATCTCTAAATGTGCCAATTTAATTTAAATGAAACAAGTTTCAGAATAAGATGGCACTTGTAATGTCTATTAATATGCCCCAGGGACTTTTAATACGAATATTATTTTATTAGGAAGATATTTAGCAAAAACTAATAATCACGAGTCACAAATTTCTAAATTTCAAATGTAGGCTCAGAATTTTTTGCGAAAGCATTGCATTATTCTTCAAATTTTAAAAAGGCGACATGACCGATTGTTTTGCAAAACTAATCGAATTTATAAAACAGATAGAGATTGTTTTTAGGAATGTATTATCTTGAAACTCAGAAGTTTGTACATCGTGACTTGGCTGCTAGAAACATATTGTTATCTTCTAAGCATCAAGCGAAAATAAGTGATTTTGGTTTATCAAGAGCATTAGGAACTGACAACAATTACTATCAAGCAACCCAAGGTGGCAAATGGCCAATTAAATGGTGAGTTTAATTTTAGTTTATCTCTTTTATAAAAATAAGACGGGTTTTCCTTCCTTACTCTATAACTCCAGAACGCACGAACCGATTTCGACGGTTTTGCATTTGTTGGAAACGTCTCGGGCTCCGTGAAGTTTAAAGCAAAGAAAATTGAGGAAACATTTTAACAGAAAAGCGGGAAAATCTTTTTTCACATACAGCGTTATTCCTGATACATAGCATGTACTACAAACCAATATTTTAAGTAGATGGCGTCGGTGCGTGATACATTGCTTGACTACTACTCATTTGTTTGGCTGCTACTCATTGTTCTCTGCTCAGTTAATTTCATGTGACAAACCGGTATTGTGTTCACTGTGAAATTGTGAAAAAAAAGTAAAAAAAATAAGTTATTCGTTTCCTAACATTTCAGTTGAAAACCATCAAATCAATCACGTGTATTGTGCAATTTTTTTTAATTTAATTTCAACAGCAGGCATTTGTCTTTAAGGTGGTAAATTAAACTGTGTAAATTATGTGGATTGTGCATTTGAGGTTAAATTCATCACTCTGTCCATAGTCTAAAATGACTTGAGGACGACGTGCGAACATCGGCCGTCGCACAAAACATGCAAGACAGCAACAAGTGTATTCACAGAACTTAAGCGAAGAAAGACGAAATATAACAATAGAAAATGCCCGATTGAAACAACGCGTGAGCACACGAAGATCATTGGCATCATACAATCGCTTGGCATTCCAATATGATCCCACTACAATGACGACTATATGCCTATGTAATTTGAATTTGGTACTCGGCATTCGGTAAAAAGACGTATGCCGAATTTGATTGAGGTAACCATTATTAACGGAAAGTGCGCAGGTGAATGTAATTCCTCGAAGACCAATGATTCTGACTGGTCTTCCGTTTGACTTCAAACGATTGCAATTTCCAATTCGCCTTGAGTTTGCAATGACAATTAACAAGTCGCAAGGCCAATCGCTTAGTGTTTGCGGAATAAATTTAGAAAATCATTGTTTTTTACATGAACAATTATACGTTGCGTGTTCACGAGTTGGAAAACCATCCGCTTTGTTTGTGTTAACGTCAGACCAAAAAACAAAAAATTTGGTTTACCAAAGAGCACTTCAAGGAAACGGATAATTTGCGGACACGTATAAAGCTTCGATTCAGTATTTATTTTGGATTCACTTTTATTTACTTAGAGAAGTTCAACTAAATAACACTTCAGTTTGGAATCGAAATAAATTCATTGCTGTTGTTAAATAAAATAAAATTTTTCTTTTTAAATATAAAACAAAAAAAGAGTGCGCGTAAGGATCACACGCGATTGAAGTAAAACTTATTTGCTACTGTTAGTGCATAAACGGAGAGGGAAAAGGGTATAACCTCTGAATTTTTTTACTGTGCTCCGAATTGAATGAAATTTTGGAATTAGGTCCATCTTACCCTCAAGTTCAAAAGTGAAAACAATTCGGGTTGCGCCATCACCCCCCGGGGGAATGACACCCCTTCTCAATTGTGTAATTACATTTTCTTCAAAATAACTTCGGAAATCGATAGAAGAACTAATTATAAGAAAAAAATGTATCTTATAGTTTTTCAAAAAAACTAATACTTTTCAAGTTGCTGGCCACTAAAGATTCAAATATTTTTGGCGTTTTTCTTCGTTTTTTTTCATTATCTTCTAAAATATACATTTATGGCGGAATGAACACCATATGAAGTTGAAGGACGTCAATTGATGACAATGGCGGAATGAACACCATATGACAGATGTCAGTTGAATAACGTCAATTGATGACAAAACTAAATTATATTGGGCTACGTTGATTCGGATCTGGCATCAAGCAAGCTATAACGATCTGATTGTTTTTATACGATCGAATATTATTGTCGCGCTTTTTAAAACGATCGAAAATATTGTATCGAGTTTTTTGCTAACGAGCGTTTTCTCGTGAACGAAATTTAGATTTGATTTAATGTAATATCAACATCTTTATCAATTGAGACATTAATAAACAGTCATTATCGAGTTGAAATAAAATTATTGCGATTTCATTCAAGAATTAATTAATTAATAATATATGGCCCACCAGCGCCATAATTGGTGACTCCGAACGTGTAAGTGAAATCATTAAGCAAGAGACATTCTCAACGTCTTAGTACCCATAATTGGTGACGTCAGACGGAGAAAGAAAAACACTTGTCAAATACAAGTAAATTAATAAAGGTAAATTATACCAATTTTTATCAACATGTCGACTCGATCTACGTCCGTCAATGACGAAACAGCGCTCAACAGATCTCTGATCGATCTGGATCACGAGGCGATCTTTAACACGAGCAGTCCTCGTGTTTCTGAACATGAACATGACAGTTATGCTGATCAATACAATATAGCAGCATTTAACAATCACCGTCTCACTCCATTCAATGGAGATTCTCCAGACTTATGGTTTTTAGTTATTGAACATGAGTTTCAGTCTGCTAGGATCAGGAGTGACAATACTAAGTACACAGCAGTACTCAAAGCCCTAGACTTTGAGACACTGCGCCTCATCCAGGATGTCCTCCGTAATCCACCAATGACAGGCAAATACGAATATATCAAAAACACTATATTAAGCAGAATGTCTGAATCTAGAGGTAAGCAAATTGACAAGCTATTAAAAAACTTAACTCTAGGAGAGAAGAAACCATCACAGCTCCTACGAGAAATGATGAATTTGGCTAAGGGAGAGGTCAGTGAAGACATCATAATTAAATTGTGGTCAGAACGCCTGCCACACCATATTCGGCCACAATTAAAGTTTCTCGCCATCTTGGTCCGGAAGCCCTGGCGGAAGTTGCCGATATTTTAGTCGATCACTGTAGCCCCACATCACATGTGATGTCCACAACACGCAAGTCTTCAGTAGAACAGAGACTGGACCGCCACGAAACTCTTCTTATGTCATGCGTCCAGGAAATCAAGGAACTAAAGGCAATGTTAAACACTGGAAGACAGAGAAATGATCAGCAAGATTCACAACTCAACCAGTCAAGATCAAGAAGTGAACAACTCAATCAGTCAAGTTCAAGAAGTGGTTCTCGACATAGGTCCAGGACACCTTCTCGTGGATCAGTTTGCTACTATCATTACAGATATGGGGAGAAGGCCACTAAGTGTGAAGAGCCCTGCCTGCTTAAATCTCTAAACCAGTCAAAAAACTTACTTCACCGTCATTAAGTGGAGCTTGCCATGACGGTGAAGTAAATTCTGTCTGCTCTGAGCTCCGCCTTCATATATCAGACAGAAAGACGGCAATTCAATTTCTTATAGATTCAGGATCAGTTATATCCATTTTACCAGCTCAGAAGTTTGCCGATGGTCATCCTAAGGAAGAGTTAGTTCTATTTGCAGCAAACTCTAGCAGAATATCCACGTATGGAAAGAGAACTCTGGAGCTGGATTTATCTTTACGCAGAAGCTTTAGCTGGCAGTGTTGTTGCCGATGTGTAGCCACAGCCATAATAGGAGCTGATTTCCTAAGCAACTACAATTTATTAATAGACTTGAAGGGTAGAAGATTGATTGATTCGACTACAGGCCTTACCTCTGATGGAAAGGTACTCAAGGCACAACAAGTTAACATCTCCACTGTCAACCCGGCAGAGCCCTTCAAGGATTTACTGGCACAATACATCGCAATAACAAAGCCACAGGTAACCACCAATAATAAATCATCTCTTTTTGCCCACAGGATAACCACAACAGGTCCACCATTAGCTTCCAGATTCAGGAAGATCTTCGGAGAAAAGGCTGTTGCAGCCAGGTCCGAGATACAAGATCTCCTGAATAGGGGCATTTTGAGGCCTTCCAACAGTCCATGGGCAAGCCCTATTCACATGGTTCCCAAAAAGAATGGCACATTCAGAATGTGTGGAGACTACAGGAGGCTGAACGCAACACACACAGGCCCAGGTCCTCCACCATTAATACAAGATGTATTCAATAATCTTCATCAAAAAGAAGTATTTTCTACAATAGATTTAGAAAAAGCTTACACCAAGTACCCATGCATGAAGAGGATATACAAAAGACTGCAATTATCACACCATGGGGACTCTTCGAGTATCTACGTATGCCATTTGGACTCAAAAACGCTGCCCAGACATTCCAGAGGTTTATCAATCACATATTCCAAGATTTTAATTTTGTTTTCATTTTATAGACGACATCCTGGTAATGTCGACTGATATGAATGAGCACCGTCGTCATCTTCAATTGGTTTTTGAGAGGCTACAGGAATATTCTCTTACAATAAACTTAGAGAAATGTGCCTTTGGAAAAGATGAAGTTAACTTCCTCGGTTACAAACTGAGTGCTGCAGGATATTCTCCTTCACCAGACCGAGTAGAGAAAATTATTAATATCCAAAACCTTCGACAGTTATAGAACTCAGAAGATTTTTGGGAATGGTAAACTATTATCGTAAATCAATACCCAAGGCAGCAAATATACAAGCACCACTTTATGAGTATGTGAAGTCCTCAGTTAAAAACGACAAGACTCAAATGAATGGAATGACAATTCATTATCAGCATTCAGCAAGCTGAAGGAAGCTCTAGCAAATGCAACTCTTCTTCATTTTCCTTCAAGTATAGCAAATATTAATTTAATTACAGATGCATCCACAACAGCCATTGGAGCAACTCTGGAGCAGGAAGAAAATGGTGCATGGCACCCTATAGGTTTCTTTTCCAGAAAGCTCACAGCTACTGAACAGCGATATTCAACTTACGATCGCGAACTACTAGCCATCTTGCGGCTTTAAAGTATTTGAATATCTCTAGAAGGAAGGCACTTTATAATCAAGACAGACCACAAGCCAATCACACACGCATTTCAACAAAAACTGGAGAAAGCATCAGATCGTCAGCGACGGCAGCTAGAATACATATCACAGTTTTCCACTGATATTATATATGTGAAGGGTGATCAGAACGTTGTTGCTGATGCG